TTTCCATTTTTCATGCTTATCAAAAACGGGTTAAAACCGTCAATTGAAATTCTAGTTTTTGCCATGCAGTTTTGCGTTTCGTAATATAACTTTACCTTTTTTCCAATCATTGCACGATTTTCTTTACTTGCTCTTACTTTTAAGCAATTACTTTGTGGTTTTCATCAACATCACATAAATAAAACGGTAATTAAATTTATTGAAATCGATTCAATATTGAACAAATGCCAAATTTATTCTCATTATCACAATTTCTTCTTACTATAACACTTGAGCAGCAGTGGCTCAGGGGAAAGAGTGCATGCTTGTCGACGAAGTGACCCAGGCTCAAATCTCAGCAATGACTAATCGATACAAATTCTGTTTACATGAAATCTTCACAGAAAAATCTTGTTCTTGCTCTCATATGGTAAGACTCTGTTGAGACGACAGGTTTAGTTTTACCGTAAAAAACCAGTCTGATTACGTATTTTCTTCGCAATTGTTACAAAAAAAACTTGTCGAAACTTGAAAAAAACCATCGAGGCTACGGATTTAAGGTTTAATTTCACGGTTTCGAACAATCAACTGATCCGCCGGCTTAAAGCGGTAACTCTTAAGCTATTTATTTTTATTTATTTATTTACAGTGTATGATCTGACGTACGAAAGATGTAATAGTAAAACATAAATCTGCGCTGTTAGTTAATATTATGGGAAATTATATAGAATAAATTATTTAAAATAAGCATTAATATTCTAGATTCAACAAAATTACGTACTTGAAAGTATCATGCAAATCCAATCAATAAATAAAAATAAATTTAAAACCATTTTTCGGATCGAGGTGCATATTTTGGAATTTTACCAAAATATCTCTTCCTAAATTCTTTCAGGAAAACAAAAATAATACGAAAAATATTATCACTTATAACTACAGATTCTTAACCACCATTTTCTAAATTAAACTAAACTCCTTACAGAACAATAATTTCAAAAATTCTAAACTACAACTTAACTGACAACTTATAAAATACTATAATTTCAATTAAAACGATCTATATTTTGAATACATAATAAAAGATTCCTTTTAGAAATAATCCTTAAGTTGTGTAATTATAATAAATTTCTACATATCGCAAATAGTTTAAATATAAAAATTATATATGATAATTCAAATTCTATTTAGCTATAGTTCTCATGATTACACTTCAAAACTGCCGTATGTTTAGTGTCTATCACGAATGTTTCATTCTTAAAGTTAAAACAACATTAATATACAAATAAGTATTACCATTCAAATTTAAATGTTAAAATTTCCATGCTAATGTGTGAATAAATTTGACAAAGGCATATGACACTCACACAGCTTCTAATTTATTCGAAACACGCTGTTCCTTTTCGAATTGAATGATTTCTATAGAGGGATCTGTCGGAAAATTATGGTAATTAAAGTTCACAAATGATTTCTAACAAGCTGCTTTTATCACCTCACCTGAATAATTCAGAAGTTCTTTTCCCAAAGCATGAGAAATGGCTTGTTATTGTACAGACAACACGTGACATGTTGCTTTTGAAAATGAAGTTCTTAATCAGGATTAAAGACAGAATATTCTTTGCCTAAGGATTAGGAGTTAATTGAAAGGGGAAATATAAAAATTTTAGTTTTAATTGACCTTTTGACACAGAATTAAAAAAGATATTTCTAATATAAATATTCAATAATTCCTGTATTGTACTCAGGATGTTTCAATACATTATTTGCAAGCAAATAAATAATTATATTACGATTTAAAATGAGTTAGTTTTAATTAATTACAGCTTTTGTTCCTGTTATGTTATCAAAGGAATTTTAATCTCGTATCTTATTGAAGATGATTAATACTGACAACTGAATTAATTTTTGTCGCTTAGCCTTTACACATGTAATACTTCAAAAGAGTCTTACATTCGATATATTAACGATTTTTATTCATTATTTAACATTTTAAAAAACTGAAAATGGCACTGAGGAACAAATTTCTGCATATTTTTGTAAATGGCACTTATAGCTTCATTTTGTTGAAGTTAAAAAACAATCATAACATTGGACTGATGGAAACAATCATAACATTGGACAAACTTCAAGGGGAGATAGGAAATATAATCAAATTGCATGGTAACCAATGCACGGAAATGTCGTCATACGCGGCTAGGGATGCTTTTCTATTATGACTTGTTCAGAAACATATGAAGAAATAGCTTATAATTAGGAAGCTACACTAACGGCATATGATGAAATCTCCAGGCATCGGTTTACATGCAATTTTATTCTCGTTGATGTGCACTTTCTTTCCTAGAAGTTTGTAGCACATTCATGAAGCCCCCTGTTACTTATAACGTTTTTACACTTACATTTCCACACGAAAATAGACTGAAATTGTCATTTGAGAAATGTAGCTTTGTGAGAGAGCATTTCTGCTTTCAGCAATAGCTTCTTCAAACGAAAGCACCTAACATAGTTATTTTTATTTCACGCAAAATATTTCTTTGATTTTACTAAAGTGCCTTACTGAATTGTGAATTCTATTTCAAATTTACTTCAATATGCCTTAGTATAACCAGGGAAGAAAAGCTTAAAGAATAAAAGTGGATATATTTTTTACTTGCTTCGATTTGAAAGGACAGATAAAATGGTATATTTTCTGCTTTGTCCATTGTTGCCGCCTTTTTTACAACTGTTCCATTTAAGACCTTTTTTTTTACGTTATAAGGTAAAAATGTAAAAATAAGAAAGAATATGTTTTAAAAAGGAATTTCTTCTGAAAGTTTTCAGTTGTTAAAATCATTAGAGATTTATATGAAGTTTAAAAGTATTACTTAATAATATTATTAATTTTTAATGTTATTGTTAATATTTTTTTAATAAATTGAATTATTAATTTTTTTAAACGAGGCATATTTCTATACATATATTGTAAATGCTTTATTGAAAGAAAAAAATAAAATATGGAATAAGCTGATTGACGGCAACTGTTAATAAATTATACCAAATTTAAAAAAATATGGTTAACATATTTCTAGATGAATGTTTCCTTTATTTAAACCGCCTGTATAAATATATACTAGATATAAACATTTATAATGATATGCTGTAAAATTCCTTAAACTATTATTAAATTCAGGTTTTATCAAACTATTTAGCTCTTAGATAAGGAGCCCATGGCAACTTTTGAAACATTCGCATGACGTCATGACAATTTCCTAACATATTTCATCTGTTTTAAAATATTGCAGACAGTTTGATGGGTACGGGGTTGAGTACTTATTTAGTACTCAGAGAAAAAAAAATATGATCGAAACTACCAGAATGTGGAAAAATTTACCGTGTTTCTGGCTCTATGGGAACACCAAAGAGTTTGGTAATTTTTGCCGGAGCGCTTTAGTAATGATTTTGGTAATATAAACAATAAAATATAGTTTTTATCATGTGATAAAATTTGGTAAACGTTATAAAATGTGGTATCTTAGGTAGGTAGCTTAGGTAGTTAGGTAGCTAAGAGGTATCTTAGGCCATGGCATAGAAGACATTTGTTTGGTTAATTTTACTTTTCCGCTTTGTATTTTTTACGAAATGCTTGAAAATGGGAATTATAATTTTGAATAATGAATATCTTACTTTTTATTTACTGGAGTTATGTTTTTTTTCTTTTTTTGCTAGAAATTTCACTATCTTACAGTACGGTTCTTTACAAGAATATTTTCGCCATGGAGTTAGGCTCAATTTTCGGTGGTCATTTATTGATACTTTTCTTTCCACGTTTTGTTACGGTAAATATTAAATTTACTTTAATTTTATATATTAAGCATCAAATTTAATTCAAATATTAAATTTTTTTCCTACATTTACTAAGAGCTCTGATTATCGGAAATTGCACGAAATTCTTTCAGGTTTTTATGATAATAGAAAATAATATCAACAATGGTAGTGAGTAACCACTTTAAATACATTATTTAATTACTTTATTAAACTTTATTTTTTTATTCATTTTTTTTAATATTCCTATATAGCTGTATACAATTAGATTTAGCATAATCTAAGTTGAAGTTCAAGTGACGAAATGAAAGATTAACTATTCATATAGTCCGACCAGGTGGCCGAGTGGTTAGCGTGTCTAATTGCGGAACCATTAGCCGCTGGTTCGAATCCTGCTCAGGGCATGGATGTTTCTTTCTCTCTCTGTGTTCTATGCCCTCTCCTCTTTGTGTGAATGTGACCCGCCCTATAAGCGGGTTTGTAGTTGTGTGGCGTGGGCGGCGCTGCTCCGCCGCCGTGGCTTCGCCACAGGTGCCCACTGGGTAACGAGAAGAGAGTAACAGTTCTGGCATTTCTGTAGCCAATGGGAAAAACTCCAAGTGCCCGCCATTAAAAAAAAAGAAAAAAGAAAGAAAAAAAAACTATCCATTCAGTATTATTCAAAATTTAACATTCAAAACTTACCATAATTTCTCAACGACTTAATAGATAACTCAATCTTATTTCATTAGTTCTTGTTGAGTTTTCACTAATTAAGTTCATAGAAACACGCTCTAAAAGAGCATTAATATAGAAAAAGAAAGCGCGGTTCCATGTACTTTTTTAAATACGAATTCAGTGACTTCATTCCCATTCGAGTAATTATCGGCATTGAGTTTACTTGTGATTACCTAAGATTAACAAATTCATGAGAACAATGCGATGAAACTAATTTTTCAGATCAGAATCGATCAGAATTGCTGATTTAAAGTAGGTTCAAGCTCACACATACTTTTATATAAACATTTCGTTTTATATATTTAGATTTTATAACAATACATTTCTATCCAATAAAATGTCATCAAATTTAACAAAACAGGTTTTCTTTGTACTTAAAATTGAACTGAATAATAGTTTGATATAAATTAGTAACAATAATTATGTATCCGCTTCATGCATGCAAGTAGTCGTTAACGTATTTACATGATATTCAAGATCATAATATTGTTTATTTCCTTTTCTTTCAGGTTTCAATGAAGTTGCACCATTAATGGAATTTGTTTGGCTTCATGGTCTCTGTAACCAAATTTAATGTTGTTATGAATATTTTTGCACATGTGATGTTTACTACATATCTTTCCATTGATGGCGTTATTGTGAAAATAAAATTTGTTATTGTGAATGTACATAAAGTCTTATACTAGTTTTAATTTTTATAAACAATTTGTGATTCAGCTTGGTACCACTGTTGCATCGAAAAGATATACTTATCCCCAATATTATATTAATCCACTGACAATTCTAATCGTAAAATGTCTCATTTCAACCAGCAGTCTTCTCTTAATAGCAAAACAGGTTTTTCCATGTTAGATAGGGAAATAGTGCATTGGGGAAAAACATTCTTCCAATTTTGCCCGTTGGCTAAGCCACCAGTAGGTTAGACATGTTTTTGATTTACAATACTGTTGCTAAATTTTAAAAAAAAATATATTAAAAATTTTTTAAAGGGAAAATGTAATCGAGCAAATTTAAAATAATTTCAGACTTATATTGCAAGTCAGAATGGTATGAATATCTAAAATTTGGCAGGCATTATGTGATAGAGCGAGCCATGTAATATTTTTCATTGTTAAGAGAAACGTTTGGTTTTGTCAACTTATTTCATAAGAAGTATATTTGTCTTTAAATTTTTTTTCAGAAGTTTACACTATAATTTTCAAAATCTATGTTGCATTTTACGTACGTAATATGTTGGTTTATGGCAGCGCTCATTTTGAATTGAATTTTATTAGTTTATTTCAGACATGATTTTTTTTAGGATTTTTCTTATTTTTCATTTTAAAAGACTGTGAAAGTGATACTAAAATCAGTTGATGAAACGCTTTTTCATCATACGAGACGATTATCAAATCGGTAATGACATGACGGAACGATACTATTGTTGTCGGAGGGTTCGACTGACGCTTTTTCAGCTGACCGTAGTAGATTACGTTTTTTTTTTCTTTTTCGTTTTTTTTTTGTTTGTTTCTTGTAGCAGAATTATTATTTTTTTTGTCGTATGCCTGTTTAGGCAGTGGGGTTGCGATTGTTCCTGTTTTTCAGTGGCGCCATCTATGCCCAGGAATTCGACTTTTGCCACGCTATTCACACAACCACAACCCGTTTATAGGGCGGGTCACATTCACACATATTAACAAACAAAGGAGAAAGGACATAGAACACACAGAGAGGGAAAGAAACATCCATGCCTTACCCGGGATTCGAACCCAGGACCTTTCTGATGCAAGGACAGTTCCATGCCCCCTACACAGACCGGTCGATCAGAATTATTATTAAAACCTTCCATGAAGAATTTAAGGAAGAAGTAGAAAATAAAATGATTTTCTTAACGAATTTTAAAAGCAAATTAATTTATCAATTAATATATATATATAATTTTACAGATAATCTATATAAGTACAGAATAGTAGTAGTGCCATCTATGTTTATTAATTGAAAATAATTGTTGAAATTTATCCAAAATTTAAAGCATAATTTCACGCATCGTGGATACTAAACAAATTATATTATTTGTAATTAAATTATATATTTCTTAAAGCAAACAAATACGAGTTAATTTTAACTAGCACTGATATCTTAGTAAAATATAAAACAGAAGAGTAAAAGCAGATACAAAAGGTAAAAAAAAATATCGGCGCGATTTGATGGAATACATGGGTGCTTGTCGATAAGTCATTTCCATAAACGATATCGTATCGTTGAGTGGGAAAATTCGTATGCTTCTGCAATGTATCTTACTAGATCCTGTATCATGAGACAACCAATGCCTCCGTTTTCTCGGTATCATGTCGTGTAATGAAAAAGCGGCCTTACTGTAACTGAGAAAATGAAGAAATGGTCAGAAGTGAGAAAGCAAATCAACTAACTGACAAATGGCTTAATTTCTGAAAAAATTAACCGATTAAAAAGTATATAAAAAGAAATGAATTAAATGAAGACGAAAACCACAAAAACTTTTCAACAATAAATTGTCTTTAACCCATGGTCTGTCTACGATTGGGGACATTTTTCTTCAGCATTGTAGTCAGTTCGAGACAAAAGCGTTTTGTGTATCAATCGAACACCTCATATTCGATTGAAGGGCAAATTATTTTAGTCTTTATTTTTAACTTGTGTAGATGCGAGATTATTTCTAGTTTATTGCTAAGAAGCCTAATTTTTGCGTTTATCCATTTAGTCGAACAATTATTATTGATTTGTACTATCTGCAGGCAAATATGTTGAAGAAAGTATTCTATGACTCCTTTTTTTACTAAATTCATTAATATGTATTATTTTTTTTAAATATCAAATAGGATAATTTGATTCAAAATACTATTTACAAAAAATAATTTAGGATAAACTAACCAGTGAAGGAACACTTAGGCTTCGCTTGCCTTTTAAAAAATCATATTAATTTCAAAATTCGTAATTTTAGTTATATGACAGTGTCAACATATTTGTTACTAATTGCAAATTGTGTAAAAGTTTTTTTACAGAACTTGCATAATATTTTTTTAACGTTTTGGAGGTTCAAATAACGAGTGGTAAGAAGATCAAGTGATGGAACAGGTTAGAAGTTGTTTTTCGTATTTTTAACATATTTTTGATGCAGAACATCACTAAAGGTAAAAGAAAATTAAAGTTTATTTTTTATTTTCATTAAGTTAGAAAAAAAACAGTATAGAAACACTTGTTCCTTCACTGGTTTTTCATCGTTTGGTGATCCAGTGAATAAACACCCCCTTATCTCAGTACTTGATTATGCTATGGTGCTTTAAAAAAAATAAAACGTAACTTCAATAACTATATTTTGAATTCTCTTTTTCACAGTGAGAAAAATAAAACTATTACATGCAATTAATTCCACTTCAAACATATAAATACAAACACTCACCTTATAATTTTTTCAAAGAAACAAGGTGTTGCAGAGATAATAACAAATTCAAAAATTTTTCCAGAGAAGTCTATTTGACCAGGTAATCCAAAACATTGCTAGATGACTTCCTATTGTTTGGCAGTAAGCTATTGTTTCCAATAAATCTAAGGAAAAACTTTCGAATTCTTATTTTTAATCAATATATATGAAATGTTCCTTCACTGGGTAGTGTTCCTTCAATGGTTGGTTTACCCTACTAGTTTAAAAATAATTTTCTAATTAATATCAGTTTTTTTTGTTATGTTGCATATGCAACTAAGTTAACTACTCAGAAGAAATGAAGTCATGAAGAAAGTTGGAACTGGTCCAAAAAATTTATCTTTTTAATAGCCTTGGAGAAAATAGCACACTCTCAAGAAAAATATTGGCACGAAAAATGCTATAAATATCTTTAAAAAGTATGGTAAATTGGGTGATTATGACAAATTTTGAATATATTTTATATGAAAGGTTTATTAAGAACGAAAAAGATTTGCAAAGAAAAAAATGTGGAGTAGACGAAAGAAAGCTACATTTCTTTTTTACAGACTTATAAACCGAAGTTTCTCTATTAACAAATTCTAAAAAATTTAATTGCATGGAAAACTGTTCAGGACTTGTCGCCCAGATACTGTTTAAAATCTGCCACCAGATTGTGTTTTTCGGAGCATTATGAATAGCGATTTAATTAATGAATATTAAATTAATAATTAAGTGAATTAACAAATGCAAGTTACATAAATATTTTTCTCTTACTTTTTATTTAAAGTAGCACCACGAATTCCTTCTCGAATTTTCTTAAAGTTGCATCTTGAATTTTTAAATTTTTATTTCCTTATTTCTCTCATTCTGAAATAAAATAATTTTTTTTAAAAAAAAGAACATGATTTGTACATGGATTCAACTCAGAAAATGTTAATCCCTTTCATCAAAATATTTAATAATATTTAGTTGAATATACTGCAGTTACCTTTTAGTCTAACCAAATAGTTACAAAGGACGGTGAACAATTCCTTAGAACACTTTCTGTTCATAGAAAAATAAATTTTTATGAAGGACATAGAAATTCAAAGAATATACATCATTTATAGTAAAGAAGAGACGTGAAGTAATGAATTAAGCTATAAATCCTCATTTATTTTATTTCAAAATATAAATTATTCCAGTTTCAAAATTATCAAGGCAAGCAAAAATTGAGTTATTGAGACTACTTTTTAAAGTAGAATGGTAGGGTAATACCTTTAGTAATGGTAAAGTTTTGTTTCGAAAAAAAAGGAAAAGCAATTAATTCTGTTTTTGACAGATCATTTGTTTTAACTCTTGTTTCTTCTTTTGTTAAAATTTGTGTGAGAGTAAAATTTTGCCGTAGAAGACTAAAAAACATCATTTGAAACTACAATTTCTTGAAGGATACTTTAAATTTTTCTTTTATTTATGTCTTTATTTAGGTTAAAATTTAATAGTTTCTTGATACATTTAAAAATAATATGAATTATGATGAACCATAAAAGAAGTTAACTAAACTATTCAGTGAAACTTCTGCAATTTTTCTTTATGAATTCAGAAATTAAAAATGTTGTAGAATGTGAAGGATTATAACTAATGGAGCAAAAATTGTAGCTAAAATAAGATATTAAAACTACATAGTCTGCTTTGATTTTATCCTATCAGCCTGTACGCATATGTACTTACTTGTACGTACGTATATGCATGTATTCTTATTCATCGACCCGATTAGAATGTAATGGTCAGGGAGCTGACCTCACATCAGAGAGGTCCTGGGTTCGAATCAAGGAAAAAGGCATGGATGTTCTGTCATTTTCCGTACTATCTGTCCTTATTATGGGAGCAACGCTGGCCCACCTAATATGGTGCCTCTGAAACAGTGGTCAAAAAATCTGCCCTATGGATACCTGATTGATGAGTATCAATCAGACAGGCATTGGAAAAAAATGTTTTCAAATTCTAATCAAATTTGGCCGAGCCATTTTTTGGCACAGTGACTTAAAAGTATAACCAAAACAGAACTGATTATTATAGATTATTCTTTGAGGACATATTAGCTAAAAAATGCATAAAAAATAATATAAAGGAGGCAGTAGGATTTTAAAACTTGGTTGTATCAGTATAAACAAGACTATATACGAAATAACTAATGACTGTTTCGCAGTACTTAGAACAGCAAAAA